GGAGAAGCCCTGGAGAGACTGGGGGAAAGGGAGGGAAGCAGCAGCTGAGGAGTGAGGGAGGGGAGGGAGGAGGAGGGAGCCAGAGGAAGAGGAGGGGAGGGGGCGGTCCGTGGCGACCCGGGACAGCCCCGGAGACCTGCAGAGCGTCCCAGGAAAGGAACTGAGGGGGAAATGGTGAGATCTGAGCCTGGGGAAAAACCACGTAAATTTATCTAATTTTTATAAAACATAAAGGCAGTGCGGTAAAGTTGGGTTTTGCCGAAAAACCACGTAAATTTATCTAATTTTTATAAAACATAAAGGCAGTGCGGTAAAGTTGGGTTTTGCCAGTAGCACACTCTTGGAAGTCTGGGAGGTGTTTTCAGCTGGGAAGTTACACATCCCTTGGCTAAACCAAGATTAGTTTAACCATGATTTGTGGAGCTACCGCCCTTGGTGGAGTAATTCCAGGGGCTGAGCAGATGCAAGACATTAAGCCAAAAGAAACTGCTTGAGGACTGAGCCCAAAGTCTGACCTTGGCAGATAGGACCATCTCAGGAAGGTTTTTGTCAAAGGATGCAATGAGGCTGCCTTTAAGGAAATGGAGGGCTGAATTGGCCCCCAACATAAAGTGTTGCAGACCTTGAGGAACAGAGTTACACCCTCCCTAAACCATAAAGAAAGAACAGAAAGTCATTCTAGGAGGAGGGCCACATTAGTCTGTGGTGGCAAAAAGAACTGTGTCCACATATGCCTACATGGGATGTTCGATCTCTATGTATGTACCTAACATACAAGTCATGTGGTGGTCCTTGCAGGTTGTCTCACATGTAATTTGCATCAACTCCGAACCGAGTGAAAGGAAAAGACGGAGATCATAACAGTTCAGGCAAGCAAATGGGGAGTAACAGGAACTTTGTTAATCTTGCTAAGAAACGGGGAGGGGAGATCACAGGTCAGATTGACAGGAAAAATCCCAGTGTGGCTTTGATTCGCGTGGGAGGAATTGAGGTTTGGGGGCACCTTCGTAGCATATGTAAACTGTCTCCTAGCTATTTTTGGAGCTGAAAAATGAAACTTCCTCTCTTCTTCACTTCTTTTTCCTTCATCCAACAGGTGTCGCCTGGAAAAACTTGTGCCAAAAGTTTTGCTTGCAAATTGTCTCTGGTTAGAAAGCCCTGCAAGGGAGCAGCCCCCAGAAACCATGCAGGGGGAGAAACCCTTCGACCGAAGGCCCCCTCAGGGGAAGCTGGGGAGAGTCTCCACATGCTCTGAGTGCAGGAAATCCTTTACTCACCGGTCCCTCCTTTTGATCCACCAGAAGGAGCACACGGGGAATGGATCGCATCTGTGTTTGGAGTGTGGGAAATCCTTTCCTGGAGTGTGGGGCTTTGCCAAACATCTCAGGAGCCACCCTGGACTAAGGCCCTACAAATGCAGAGAGTGTGGAAAGCGTTTTGCTAAAGGCTCAAACCTTGGAGCCCATCAGCAAATCCACATAGGAGAGAAACCATACAAGTACTGGCATTGCAGGAAGAGCTTTACTTGCAACTCACAACTTTGGGTCCGTGAGAAGGTTCACAGGGGCATTATACCTTATAAATGCTTTCAGCGTGGAAAAAGTTTCTCTCGAAGTTCATTTCTTCGGAGCCACAGAGAGGAGAAAAACAAAAAGTGCCTAGAATGTGGGAAATGTTTTTCCCAGAAATCAAACCTGGTGCGACATCAGAGAATTCACACTGGAGACAGACCTTATAAATGCCCTGAATGTGAGAAACGATTTGTGGATTCTTCTGAACTTCGGACACACAAGATGAGGCACAGAGGAGATAAACCGTATAAATGTGAGGAGTGTGGGAAAAGTTTTATTTCGCCAGCAAACCTTCTGATTCATCAGAGAATCCACACAGGGGAGAAACCATACAATTGTGTGGAATGTGGTAAATGTTTTGCTCAAAAGGGAGGGCTTTGGGAACATCAGAAAATTCACACAGGGGAGAAGCCCTATCAATGCATCGAGTGTGGAACATTTTTTCGTACGACAACAGCCCTCAGATGTCATGTGAAAGTTCACACAGGGGAAAAAAATTACAAATGTTTAGACTGTGGAAGAGCATTTGCTCGTCAATCATCCCTTAGAAATCACAGCTTAATGCATATAGGAGAGACGCCCCATAAATGCTTGGAATGCAGTAAATGTTTTTTCAGTAACGCAACTCTTTTGAGGCATCAGAGAATTCATACTGGAGAAAAGCCTTATCAATGCCTGGAGTGTGGGAAATCTTTTCCTTACAAAGAATATCTTAGAAACCATAAGAGACTTCACACAGGAGAGAAACCTTACAAGTGCGGACAGTGTGGGAAGGGCTTTACTCGCAGTTCAGATCTTGGGGTCCATGAGAAGCTTCACACAGGAATAAAGCCTTATAAATGTCTCAGGTGTGGAAAATGTTTCACTCAAAATTCATCTCTCCAGAGCCATGAGAAAATCCACAGAGGGGAGAAAAATGAAAAGTGCCTAGAATGTGGGAAATGTTTTTTCCAGAAATCACACCTGGTGAGACATCAGAGAATCCACACCGGAAACAGACCCTATGAATGCCCAGAATGTGAGAAACGATTTGTCGATTCTTCTGAACTTCGGAGACACCAGAAGAGGCACAAAGGAGAGAAGCCATATAAATGTGGGGAGTGTGGGAAATATTTTGCTCAAAAGAACGGACTTTCAGAACATCAGAAGATTCACACAGGGGAGAAGCCCTATCAATGCATCAAGTGTGAAACATTTTTTCGTACGAGATCAGGCCTCACACGTCATATGAAAGTTCACATGGAGCAAAAAAATTACAAATGTTTAGACTGTGGGAGAGCATTTGCTTATTCATCATCCCTTAGAAATCACAGCCTAATCCATACAGGAGTGACACCATTCAGATGCGTAGAATGTGGGAAATGTTTCTGTCGAAAAACAATACTTTTGGAACATCAGAACATTCACACGGGGGAAAAGCCCTATCAATGCATTGAGTGTGGAACATTTTTTCGTAGGAAGTCAAATCTCACACGTCATATGAAAGTTCACACGGGGGAAAAAAATTACAGATGTTTAGACTGTGGAAGAGGATTTGCTTATTCATCATCCCTTAGAAATCACAGCCGCCTAATGCATGTAGGAGAGACGCCCCATAAATGCTTGGAGTGTAATAAATGTTTTTCCAGGAAGGAAACGCTTTTGAAGCATCAGATAATTCATACTGGAGAAAAAGCTCATCAGTGTCTGGAATGTGGGAAATCTTTCCCTTACAAAGAATGTCTTAGAAACCATGAGAGAGTTCACATAGGAGAGAAACCTTAGAAGTGCTGGCAGTGTGGGAAGTGCTTTACTCAGCGTTCACAGCTTTGGGTCCATGAGAAGATTCACACCGGAATAACACCTTATAAATGCCTTGAGTGTGGAAAATGTTTCACTTAGAGTTCATCTCTTTGGAGCCATGAGAAAACCCACAGAGGGCAGAAAAATGAAAAGTGCCTAGAATGTAGATGTAATGGAATGTGAGGGTGGCCTTGCGAGACAGGGAAAGTGATGCCACCTGGGGAACCATCAGATAAAAGAGAAAGGAGTCCAGAACTGCGTAATGGCCATAGAAAGAAGCTTAGGAAAAACCCACCCTAACTACGCAGGTGGTTAATAGGGAGGGTGGGAGATTTGTGCTTTCAGACTTGCAAGATTCTGTTAATGTAGCTTTCAATAAAGTAGAATTAGCTCATCTTGTTTTCTTTCGTCTGGTTTACCTGGGAGAGCTAACAGTGGGAAATGTTTTCCCAGCAAATCAAGCCTGGTGCGAGATCAGAGTGTTCACACCGGAGACAAGACCCTATGAATGTCCAGAATGCGATAAAAGATTTATAGAGTCTGCTGAATTTTGGAGACACCAGAAGGGGGACAGAGGAGAGAAACCCTATAAATGTGGGGAGCGTGGGAGAGGTTTTGTCTCAGCAACAGAGTTTTGGATTCATCAGAGAATCCACACGGGGGAGAAACCGTACAAATGTGGGGACTGTGGGAAATGCTTTTCCCAAAAACAACACCTTGGAAAGCATCAGAGGGTCCATACAGGAGTGAAGCCATAGAGATGGGTAGATTGTGGGAAATGTTTTTTTCAAAAGGCTGGACGTTGTGAACATCAGAAAACACACGGGAAAATCTATGCACCGAATGTGAAACATTTTTTTGTAGTGGATCAGCCCTTAGAAGTCATATGAAAGTTCACACAAGGGAAAAGATTACAAACGTTTAGACTGTGGGAGAGCATTTTCTTGTCAGTCATTGGTTAGAAATCACAGCCTCCTAATGCATTTAGGAGAGACACTCCATAAATGCTTGGAGTGTGTTTTTGTCTGAAAGGTGGTCTTTTGCAGCAACAGAGAATTCACATTTGAGAGAAACCTTATCAGTGGTTAGGATGTGGCAAACATTTTATCTGATAATCAGATCTTCAGGTGCACACGAGAAATCACACAGGAGAGAAAGCTTACATGTGTGTAGCGTGAGAAAGCTTTTCCTTGCCAATCAAAATTTAATATGCACCAGAGAGTCCAAACTGGAGAAAAGCCTTTCAGTTGTGAACAATGTGGGAAATTATTTTCTCGAAGCCACACGTTAATGTTCACCAGAACACTCAGTAACAAGTGAAATCCTACAAATATTTGGTTTATGGGAAATGTTTTTCATGATCAGGTAACCTTCAGCTGCAACAGAATCACAAAATATTGCATCAATTTTGGGAGGGTGGGGAATGTTTTGATCAGGAAGCAGCATTACTGACTCATCAGAGAGTCCACACAGGAGGAAAGAATGAGAAGTGTAAGAAATGCTTTGTAGAGAAATCAGTCTTAGAGAAACATCAGAAAGTTCACAAGAGGAAAAGTATTTAAATTTTGGAATGTGGAAAATTGTTGGAAGGTCAGTTGGACCTCTGGAGCCTCCAAGGAATCCAGAAAAATGAGAGACCACGTGAATGTTTGGAGTGTGGGAATGCTTTTTCCAAAAATACTATCTTGGGATGCAGGAAAGTCTTCACTCAGGAGAGAAACCCCACATGCGTTCGGAGGGTGGGAAATGCTTTCCAGAGGAGTCATAACACTGATTTCTCTGGATGGAGGATCCACACAGGAAGAACCAGACAAGTGCCTGGAGTGTGGAAAATAATTTGCTTGGAATGAGACTCTTGTAGCAGATTCGCGAGTCCATACCAGAGAGCGGCCCTATCAATGTTTGCAGTGCAGAAAAATTTTGGCACAAAAATCTCTTAATAAACCAAAGGGAGTTCATAATTCTGGAGAAGTATGTTAAACAGTGAGAAAAGTATTTTCCTTGCACAGCATGTCTGAGAGAACTAGGATGAAAGCCTGTTTAGGTTCTTAAGATAAACCCAAAGTGTTGGGGATTCCATGAAAGTTCCCTTGTGGTTTCCTTGGCAAATTTATGGATGCCAGTTCACACTGGCCTTTTTCAGGGTTTTGTTTTTGTTTATAATTTCCCAGCCCATCCTAGACCCCAAGAAGAGCTCCTGGTGGTCTCCTGTTCCATCAAAGTCCCCACTGAATGCTCAATAATTGAAGAAGAGATTTTATTTCAGCTTTTCCTCCCTTTTATTTATCTTTTGTCCAAGGAGATGGTAAAATTGCTGGTCCTAAAATGTTTCAACCATCAGGTGGGGTTTGTTTTAAATTAATTTGTTTATTCTGATATATATATATATAGAGAGAGAGAGAGAGATGACAAGGAGGTTGTGGTAATTCCACAGAGTGCTGCATTCCTAGAAGGGTGCCTTGGGGGAAAGAGAGGGGCACTTCTGGCCAGCCCTGGCTCCCCAAGCCCCCCCCCCTTACGCAGGCAAAGGAGATTTTGCGTTTTCTCCTGGAAGGAAATAGGCAAGTGGGGCTGAAGGGGGAGAGAAAACCAGGGCAATGCTTTGCAGTCGTGCTAGGGCTCTGCGCCCCCAAATGGGATGCTGACTGGGAAATGTGAGCCAGGTTGTCTGCCACAAAGTGCGGAACCCCTTCCCCC